CTTCTAAGAAGTCATTTTATTCTTCAAAGGGAAAGAGATTAATATGTTCATTTATGGTAGAACCTTCCTGCTTACCCTTTTATTGGGTATTACTACATACATTCATAAGGTACGATTCTAATTATAGGAGTAACAAATATATACACTATTTCGCCTCTTTATATTTTGGCGCCATTAAGAAAAAATATGTACCAATGTTTAAATATGTGCCCTTTCCCAGATGCCGAATATTTCCCTTCATTTTTAGTCCAAATGCTATAGGGATTACTCAAATGATTCATATGACATATTCCATGAGACGCCAAGTGCAGAATCAAATTTCTGGAACGAACAAAAATATGCGGCAGCCAAAAACAACCTCTTAAACTCGTTAGAACAAAATGACGATTTCTTTGCGGACGGGCTAAATGCAAAGGTCCATGATGACCATGATAACGAAGAGGACGATTATAACAATGATAACGATGATGAATCTACGGAAAAAATTAGTCATTTCATGCACAAGTACGCCTCCGAAGAAATGCTTCCTCGATCAAGAAAAGGAAAGGGATTCCAAAATGATTCCAATTCATGGAAAACTAGTAGTAATCATGAGGAAATTCCTGACGAATTCAACAGTTATGATAGATTCGAATGTTCTTTTTATGAATTAGAGAGTGGGAAGCATCACGGAACAGAAGCAATTAGTGCGATGACACCTAATAAATTTAATATCCAAAAATCAGCTGAAGGGGAAGAATACCATATTCCCATTAAAATATCACGAAATCCATATCGTAATAAATCTGTGCAATCTTCAGATTCTGATTATGGACACAGGAAGAAACGCCAATCATGGCTACAGGGAACAATTAAAAGGCGTCATTCAAAATTCCGATCAGAAATGAAGAGATTCATGAAAATTGCGTCAGGAAGAGGAAGAATTTCTAAAGGTAGAGGTTTATCAGGATATTTCAAGTTCTTATGCAATAAATATAGAGTATTTACTCCACTTGCAATTTCTGTATGTTTAAATATCTTTGCTCTATACATTACGTATACACATTTTAGTGCACTCCTGTGCATGTTTCTACTGCTTATTTTTTCTTTGACTGTTTTGATAGCCTCGTACTATCTTCATGTAGCACTAAACTGACCTGTCTTAGTTAAGAAGAAGGCTAAGTAAAGATAGTTATTCAGATAGGAGTCGAACCCGAGTAAGGCATTGACATAATAAGTTCCGGACACAAGATAATTCATATGATAAATGTTCAGAGAGGATTAGAAAATTAAGTGATTTATCTGAGCAGTTTATACCGCTACTTGTTAAATTTGAAGGATTGCTTCAATGATAATTTTATTCTATCCCTCATAAGGATAAGGAGGAAGTATTGGGGGGTTTCCATTATTTCATTCTAAATTTGTATCATTGCGGCAAGAATAGGATTGAGAGTGCATTTTATTCTTCTCTGCTTTTCTCCTATTCGTGCCTAAATTATCACTGTTTGTTTCATTCCAAACAATACTTCAGCTAAGTACACGCGGTTGATAATGCATTAGAGCAGAAATTACAATGTAAATTTTTTTTTCCTTTTTTTTTTCTTCGATTTTCAACAACTTCAAATCATAAACTTCTTCCATACGCTATAAAATGCTCGATAAAGAGGCTAAATGGATATTTACTAGCGCAGTATTATATGTCATTTCCTATTTTTTCAAGTAAATGAGCAAAGAATACATGCAACGAAACTTAGCACCGCACTACGTAACAGCGGCTGGTGTAGAATATGAAGACTTCAGTATTAAAAAAAAAGAAAGAATTATATGCAAGAAGCCATAGAAACAGAATACACATTATTGATGAATATGG